GTGTTGTGCACCAACTTCTCTTGAGAGACAGAGGTTCAGGGCTTTCTTTCCTCTTTTGGTGGTCCCAGTATGGGACAGGATGTTATGTGAAAAGAAACAGAAATTGGTTGTAGTAAAAGGATAGTAATGCTGCATACTGGAACAGGCTTATTAGTCCAAGAGGTTTTAGAATTGTTTCAGAAGGCTGTGACCTCTTTTTATTTTTTTGTCCTATAGAAAAATTAAACTTGTTTTTCCACTGTATAAAATATGCTCACAAAAGGTAGATTATTGCAGGTCAGTATTATAACTTCTCCGGAAAGAAAAAATAAAACAAAACCACAGACAAAAAATACCAAAGCAGCTCTCCCTTAGATACTCTAGAGAGAGAAAAATCTACTTTCTTCCTCATATATTAACGCCATTAATTATCTTATAGGATGACACGTTGGAAACTAAATTATTAGGTGAACTTGAGAAAATGAGATTTAGTAAAGGAATTGTTAGGTAACACAATTTACTAAGTGAGAAAAGAGGAAACATAAACCTATGGAAAGCATACTGGTGGAGTTAAGCACCAGTCTTGCAGGCAGTTTTGTTTAATATATTGCTACTAGTCTTTGAGCAGGATGTAGGAATGTATTCATGCAGAACGTGAGGTTGGGAAACTTCATGAATATAGAGGGGACGGAAGGACCTTGAGAAAAAGGTGGGTGGAAAATCAGTAGTATAAGATTGAGTTATACAATTCTGAACTTCCTTCTGGTGAAAGGTAACACACATCAATTAGAAATGACAAAGTAGGGAAGACTGCAGTGCACTAATTGATCTCGTATCTGACCATGGGTCACCACTGAGACAGCCCTAAGCAAAGAGGGGAGAAGGATGTCACTGCAGCTCACCTATGTAATAGATTGTTAACTTTGTTCATAAAATCTTATGTGTATGAGGGAATAAGGAACTTTTGTTATAAATCAACAAGATAAGTTTCATGGACATCCTGTTAATTAACCAAGTGTCAGTAAAAATAATTGCAGACATCTTGCTAAACAAACAAGTATCAGTATTGGTAAAATTTACAGCTGATAAGAACTGCAGCTTTCATCTTTGACAAATCCCAGATGACCACTTAGCAATGAACCACGAACTCAAGCCTCAACGCAGCTGCATTCAAAACTCAGGACTTGGAAATGTATAAAAAGGAACATTTACTACATTTTTAGTGTGTGTCTCAGGCGGGGCACTTGCCCCCCAGGCCACCCAGCGCTGTTTGCTTTATTATTGCTTGCTTAATAAATTTATCAATGCTTAATTGGAATTGAGTTGTCTAAATTCCTATATTAAATTATAACAACCTATGTCTCAGAGAATCCTCTCTAGACCAAGGGTAACACAGAATTAATCCTAGCAGAATCCAAGCAGTGCTGGTCTACCATATTCAGGAAAGATGTGAAACATGGAGGAGACCAGCAGGATGGCAGGAAAGCCACAGATTTTTAGTGCTACAGTGAGAAAAACTTGGCACTCTTAAGTCTAATGAGACAAAAGTTAAAAATGGATGGGATGAATATCATTCAAATGATAAGCACTGGGCGTCAAAAATTATTTCAATCCAAACAGTATGTTAGCACAGAACAAATGACTAATTTTAGTGAATTTAAACCCATCACAGCAGCAACATTTTGAGTTGGCTTGTTACTCATTAAGGAGCCAGGGGGATTTTATATAAATCTGATCAGTTTGTGAAAGGGATCATAGGTTATAATGTCATAGGAGTAGAGAGGATCTCCAGTTCCTTTCACTCTGTTTCATATGAGATATAAAAACTAAGGGGGCTTATAGCCCCTTACCACCACCAGTGCCTGCTTTCTCTGTGTAAATCCAAATTGCTTTGAGCACACATAGGATGTCTTACTTTTCCTCAGTATCTCAGACGGAATAATATGGAATGTAAGGTTCAGAAGTTAAACTAGAAAACTGCACTGCTTGCACACACACAAAAAAGCAGAACAAAATGAATTGGTCAGGCATTACACCTGAATGATGAAAACCTGCAGGCAATCCTAAACCAGCATTGACTAAAAAACTAATTTTTTCCCCATATTTTATTTGGGGAGAGAATAAGGAAGCAGAGGGCTGCATAAAGAATTTTAATTATACCATTCATTGAGTTGAATGCTCTGTCCTTTATGATAAATTTAAACTGTT